TTGGACTACGGTAGCTCAGTAGCTGGGCACGTCCATCCCTGCGCAACGAGACTCCACAAGAATTTCGACGAGAAAGCTTCATGTCGCAGCAGCGCCACCGTCCGAGCTTATCGAATCGAAAATGGTCTTCAACATTCACTGTTCAGCAGACCTGTCATTGTCAATTCATGCAGGCTGTCGATCCAGTGTCTTGTCCTCTCGCATGGTTCACACTACGGTACGTAGGTCCTAGTAGTTGCAGGCGGTTGCCATAGGGAGTTGGTTCTGGCGTTCAGAATCACTGCTGAGGCTATTTGGAGGCTATTCGTGGTGGCGCTGCGTAGTGCTGACGGCAGGCTGGACCATGTGGAGGCGCTTCTTGCAGCGCCGGTGGCCGGGCTACCCCTCCTACCGGGCCTCCGTCATTCTCTTTGACGAGCTGGCGGCCTACGAGCGACCGCGCTCCCTGACGCCTTTGCTTCTCCTCAACGTTGTTGGCTTCTACAGCGGTGTCGTGGCAGCAGCGCTTACAGAGCAGCTCTACAAGGTAAGCAAAGATGGGGGCACTGTTTGTATGTCTCATGTCTGCTTTTCTGCCCATCAGTATAATGCATACATGGGTGTCCTTCGGCAGCTTGATCAGATTTGGCATCTCATAGACTTGGAGTTCCGGAGCTGCTTGCCGTGCTGCTGTGGTTCAACCAATCACTTTTCTGCTGCGTACAATGTATCAGATGCACTGTTTCTGCTGGCAATCGCATTCTAGGTTGGTTGATGATTGAAACCTGCATCGGGTCCTGTTAGAATTTTAGATTTGGCTTGCTTCTTGATTGGTTCTTCTTTCCGTCAGGGAAGCCGCCTTGGCACACACCCTTGTAACAGCGCTTCACAGATCTACCGGCAGACTGTTCCTGGCTACTTCCCTGGTCTGAGCGCTTCTTTACCTGGTGTAAAGTCACAGAGTGGCACCCTCTGGCCCCGTGTTACAAGGGGTGCCAGGACAATTTCACAGGATCTATTGCGTGCCTGTCCTGACCGCTGAAACGTCATGCGCAGGAGCGCTACTGGGAGGAGCACCCCGGGCAGGCGGTGCCCACCATGCGCAGCTGGACCTACCTGGGGCCCCACAAGGTCCGCCGCGAGGACTTCGCTGAGGAAGAGGGCCGCGAATAGACCAGAGAAGCCCCACCCTCTGATGTCCAGCTGGAAAGACCCCTTTCTGCTGCCCTCCGGTTGCGTGCCCGATGGCGGGTGCGCTGCGGCCGCGCTACATGATGGTGGTGCTGTGCTTTGCTGCCACCCTGGTGGCGTACCTGGAGCGCGTGGCGTTCTCGGTGGCCTTCACTGCGGCCGCCATTGAGCAGCACCTGGACCAGGCCACCAAGGGCGGCGTGCTCTCCGCCTTCTACTACGGCTACGCCCTCTCCCAGATCCCGGGGGGCTGGGCGGCCGCGCAGTACGGCGGCCGCCGCGTCCTGCTCTGCTCCTTTGCGCTCTGGGCGGTGTGCTCCGCGCTCACGCCCGCGCGTGCGTCACCGCTGCTGCCGGTGGTGGTGGCGCGGGCGCTCATCGGCGTTGCGCAGGGGCTCATCTTCCCTGCCATCCACACGGTGCTCGCGCAGTGGACGCCCCCCCACGAGAAGAGCCGCGCCGTGTCCCTCGTCACCTCCGGCATGTACATGGGCGCCGCGACCGCCATGCTCATCATCCCCACAGTGGTACAGGCTGGGGGGCCGCGCGCTGTGTTTCTGTTGATGGGCGCGCTCGGCGCAGCGTGGGCGGGCGCGTGGGCTCTGCTGGCGCGCGAGGCACCGGGGAGCGAGGCGACCTTGCAGCAGGGGCGCACCGAGGCGCTACTGGCGCTGCAGATGGAGGCGCTGCAGGCTGCAGAGGCGGGGGAGGGGGGCCACGACAAGGAGGCCAGCAAGCAGAAGGGGCCTGCGCCGGGGGCCATCCCGTGGGGCGGCCTGCTGCGCAGCATGGCGGTGTGGGCGATTGTGGTGAACAACTTCACGTTCCACTATGCGTTCTACGTGCTCATGAACTGGCTGCCCACCTACTTCGAGCAGGGCCTGCACGCGCCCCTCGCGCGCATGGGCGCCGCTGCCACCATCCCGTACCTCCTCATGTTCCTGGCCCTCAATGCGGGGGGCGTCCTCGCGGACCGCCTGGTGGGCCGCCACCGCGTCCCGCTGCTGACCGCGCGCAAGGCACTCAACACCGTGGGCTTTGGCGTCGCGACGGTCGCGTTTCTGCTCATGACGAGGTTCCAGACCGTGAGCGGCGCCGTGGCGTGCTCCTCGGTTGCGCTTGGGGCGTGCGCATTTGCGCGAGCGGGATTTGCGGTGAACCACATGGACATTGCGCCGCGGTACGCGGGGGTGGTGATGGGCGTGTCCAATACGGCGGGCACGCTGGCGGGGGTGGTCGGGGTGGCGGCCGCGGGCATGGTGCTCACAACGGCCACGGACGGCAGCGGGGATGTCACGGGGTGGGGGGCGGTGTTTGGGCTGTCCGCAACGCTGGTCGCAGCGGGCGCCGTGTTTTATATTGCCTTTGCAAAAGGGGAGAAGTTGTTCAACTGAAGCTGGGGCGCCTGAACGGGCGGACGGGCCTGGGGGAGGGGGAAGCTACTGAGCTGGGACACAAGAGAGTTCCAAGGCTGCAGCATGTAGCGTGACTGTGTTGGCAGTTTCTTTTCGTGAGTAGACAGCTTACGACGAGGTAAAGCCGACGAGCCGCCAGTTCCCGAGAGTTTTGCCACCATTTTGTCCACTCGGTGAACCCTTTTTACAGTAGGAGCGTCAGCTGTGAAAAGGGTCGGTGGTAGAAATGGAAAGGCGGAGAAGGTAAGGAAAGAAACCTTTGTCTTCGAAGGCTTGTGCTCAACAATTGTCGGAAGAGGCTGCATGGATTTACGTGACGGGTTGAGAATCAACGGCTTGAGCTGCAGTCCTCAATAGTTACCCTGCTTGGGAGCGACTTCATATGTTTGCACACCTCCATTGCGTTGCATCTGAAGTGTCTCACGATAGAAGCTACAGGTTGCTGTGATACCTAAGGAACCATCAAAAGTACGTCAGCTCAATTGACAAACCCCTCAATTGTTGCACGGCGACCAGCATGGCATGTAACTTACTCCAGCACATGCTTAGTAGACAGTCCTCGAAGGACCGTCGATCGGACACTGACAGGGCGGCATGATAATGTGCTTGCCTTATGCAGATCGAATGTGCTGGCATCATGTTGTCATTAATCTGACCGTCCTCAGTGCAGGGTTCTCCTGCTTCCGGTCATAACTGCTCACAGCATACAGCGATTGTCCACAACAATATATCTCCACTATACATGCTGCCCATGACGTCAAACTTTCAATGTCTTGCATGCATGGACGGACGGTCGGATCTCAGCGCGTGCGATAGCGTCCGAACGTGATCGTCATATATGTGGCCTATATCATGTTACGCGGTACCATCATGGCATGCTGGCCGCATTTTAATTGCACGCAAGTTCGTGGAAGTGTTAGCTTCCGATCAAGCCTGCGCACGGTGTACATGTATGTCGAGCTAAGATGCTTGATCTTTAGTGATAGCGGCGCGCTGGCTCAGCTGCGATCACATCCGCATGTGGCCCGTGCCATGGCAGGAATCTGCGGATTGCGCGGCCGGCCCCGGCGGATATTGCAGTGGTCACCGATCCGACAGTGCGAGAGTTCCATAGGATGCAGGTGACCGGGAAGTCGCAAGTTCGCAACTGCATTATGATGCAATTCAGTAACGAACTGTACTTAGATCCCGGATGGAGTCGATCGATCCATGTGCAGCGC